TTGATTTGGTTTTTAAGCCTGTCCATGAGATTAAACCAAGATTGAGACCTTATTCTGTAAGTGCGGAGAGCAACCTTTGGGTTCTCCCAAGCAGCCTTTGGGTTAAGGATGGTTAGTAGGAAAGGATTATATCGAAGATGTGGGCAATTTTGGGGGTGGGATACCTTTAGTTAGACTTATCAAGCATCATCCTAGTCAGACGAGGGCCTCACCCATTAGTAGAGGTCTCCCCTTTAGAATATAAATATTAATTCTCTTGGGATAATTGCCTTTGTAACTTAAATTCCCACAAGGTAGGGCTAGGTAGGCTTCAAAGCAGATAACCTGAGGGTTAGAAGCTTTAGCAATATTTATAACCAAATATAACCAATCCTATATTGGATAGCAAGAAGCAGTTTATAATCTTCATAGGGCATAGGTATTGCACCCTGATCATAGGAGATAGCACCTAACATTACCAGGCAGACTCTCATAGCATTTTTATAGTCAATTTCTTAGGGTCCACATGTGAAAGGCTGTCCATTGTTCTCCTTGGTAAAGATCAGGAGAATTCTTGGCTCTGGTGTAATGGGTCTAACCTCATTTTGCTGTTCAGCGAGCTATCTCAGCTGTAAGTAAGACCTTACAGGGTCTTTCTCAGTTTGGCTCAAGTTTGCTCTCCTTCCACGTTTTCATTAGATTGTAGTCTCCTGGTTTGTAAGAGTTGAGCTGGGAATTCAAGGGGAGGAGTCTGGGCCAAAAGAACTTGTAGCTTAAGAGAAAGTAAAGGTGAAGAAAGACCCAGTATGTAGTTTTAAAGAAATTGGTCCTTCGTTCCCATAGTAGGGAGATCTGAGGACCTTCCTAAATAGGGTAACCCATGTAACATCTCATATGGAGACAGGCAATGTCTTTCCTAGGGGCTGTTCTAATTCAGAGGAGTGCTATGGGAAGGCATTTGGTCCATGGAAGTTTGATCTCTAGTATTAGTTTGGTTATTTGTCTCTTTAGGGCTTGTTTTTGTTTTTTTTTTTACCCTTGTGGAGGATGGAGGGTACCAGGGAGTGTGATACTCCCAAGACACATCTAGGGCTTGAGTAAGATCTTTGATGATGGTGGCTGTGAAATGCTTCCCATTGTCTGAGTCTATATTTTTTATTAATCCAAATCTCTGAATTATGGATTTCAGTAATACCTTGGCCACATTATGGGCAGTGGTACTGGGCAATGAACTCGCCTCCACCCAATTAGTCAAATGACCTACTATAACCAGAAGATATCTCAGTCACTCTACCTTGGGTATTTCAGTATAATCGGCTTGAACACTTTGAAATGGTCTTAATCCTGGGCTCCTTCCTCCTAGGAATTGGTTTTTTTTTTTTCTTTTTTTGAAGCTTGCTTATTGACCTTTTTACAAGTCAGGCAACTCTCAGTTATTTGTTTAGCTATAGTGTATGTTCCTATACAGCTATATTTTCTTGAGATTTCATTACACATAGCCTGAGGTCCCCAGTGACATCCTTTATGTAGATAAGACATTATTTCTCTCATTATTAGTTTGGTGAGCATTTCTCTACTATCAGGTAAAATCTATTTTCTCTCAGGAGTTTTGGAAGCCCCAGTTCTGAAATCATTTTTCCTCTTGAAGACAAAACTGGAGTAATAGAAGGGGGAGGAGGTATGACTGTGGTAAGATGGAAAATGGGTGCCTCAGATTGCAAGGTAGCCTCCTTAGCAGCCTCATCTGCCATTCTATTTCCTTGGGCCTCCATATTATACCCTTTTTGATGTCCCAGTATATGAACTATTGCTATTTTTTTTAGGTTTTATTAAGTTTATCACTTGAGCAATAAGTTTCTTGTGAACAATAGCTTTTCCTTTACTGCTAATCAAACCTCGTCAGGTCAGTCCAAATTTTTCCAAACATGTGTACTGCTACAAATGCATATTTGGAGTCTGTATAGATAGTTCCTTTCCTTTTCTCTAAAAGTTTTAGGGCCTGATTAAGTGCAAATAATTCACAACTTTGAGCTGGCCAATTATTAGGTAGTCGACCTGATTTAATTATAGTTAAGTGATTTCCATCTATCACTGAGTATCCATTATGTCTCCTTTCTTTAATTACTCTGGAAGAATCATCCACAAAGAACTTATCACCAGTCTCAAAAGGAATCTCTTGTAGGTCTGGTCTTACCTTGGTTTGATATTCTATCAGGTCTAGACAGCAATGTTCAATAGGACTTATGGATTGTCCTCCCACTAGGAATTTAGCTGGCTTTAGGCAATCATTCGAGGTGAGTATCAGATCATCCCTCTCCAACAGAATGGCCTTGTATTTTATTTTATTTTTATTCATATGTACATACAATGTTTGGGTCATTTCTCCCCCTTTCCCCCCACCCCCTCCCTTAACCACTCCACCCCCTCCCTCTCCCCCCCTACCCCCTCACTTCCAGGCAGAAACTATTTTGCCCTTATGTCTAATTTTGTTGAAGAGAGAGTATAAGCAATAATAGGAAGGACCAAGGGTTTTTGCTAGTTGAGATAAGGATAGCTATACAGGGAGTTGACTCGCATTGCTTTCCTGTACATGTGTGTTACCTTCTAAATTAATTCTTCTCAAACTAAACTTTTCTCTACTTCCTGGTCCTCTTCTCCTATTGGTCTCTTTCGCTTTAAAGTATCTCCATTAGTTTCTCTGTGTTGAGGGCAACACTCAAAAAACTAGATAGCATTTGTTGGCCTTGTATTTTAAATCACTGAGTAAGTTAACCATCTTCCTACCTTCTGGTTAAGGATTGTTCTCACTTGGTAAGGTGTGCTTACAATCAGGGCTCCCCCAAAGATCAATTTTCTGCTCTCCTCTGTTTGAAGAGCGGTGGCTGCTACTGATTTAATACATTCTGGCCACCCCCTTGAGACCAGATCTAAGTTCTTAGAGAGGTAGACAACTGGCTGTCTTTGTCCTCCATGGTCCTGCATTAGGACCTGCATTAGGCTGTTCCCTTATCAAGTTACAAATATGTGAAATGGCTTTTCTAAAGAGGGCAGAGCTAGCACTGTAACAGTGCTAAGGGCCTGCTTTAGGGTGTCTAGGGACTGTAATTCCTCTGATTTCCAAAGAAAACATTTAATCATTTTTTGTTTCTTTTTATCATTTTTCCTAGGATTTTTTGCCCAATATAGTAACATGAGACCGAGAGGGCTATCTGGAGGAATAGAAGAAGATGAGTCTAGTTTTTTGGAGCCTTTTCTAACATTGACTTTTTATTTCCCATCCCAAAATCCTGGCTGTGTTATCCAGGAGAATATTCATCCCTCCATGTGGGGATTTCTTATACTCTACCCATATCCCTGGGAGAATATTCAACCTCCCCATGTTAAGAGTTTCTTATACTCTACCTATATCCCTGGGAGAATATTTAACCACCCTGTTGGGGATTTTTTATACTCTACCCAAAATGCTTCATCCTTCTTCCATCAGCTCTCTCATGGTCTACCAGGGTTAGGAATCTAGAGTTGGCACTTGTTTTGTGTCTGACAAGTCCCAGTCACATCCGCATAGCCTCTTTTTGGGATGTCCCAACCACCAAGGCAGTACTTGACTTTCCTACCTTGGTCCTGTGCACAGAGTTAATCTGGCCCACCACAGTGCTTGTTTGGGCTTGATTTTTTTATCTCAAGTTCGCTGTCAGCCACAGAGATAGTGGATTCCCCTAGCCCTGAGGCAGCTACATCAAGGCAGTCAGATGTGTCTCCCCTGAGAAGGGGGTATCCATAGCCCCTGGGGCAATGTGAAAATCCCAGATGAGTCCCCATGCTGTCAGAAATATCTTTAAGATATTGGGGTGTCATGAGAGAGACAGCACTACTCAAAAGTCAATAGGTGAGGTAAAATTTACTTCTGTAGAAGGGGGTAAGCACCAGAAAGTATGGGAGGCAAGCACATTGGGCAGGAAGTCCACAGGGGTTTTATCTGATGCCATGCTGTCCCTCTCCTGCTCCTGGGTTGGGCAAGTTTGGGGTTCACAGTCTACACAGTTAGCTAATTAGAAAGGGGTCAGTTTGGGAGGGGGATTTGGGAACAAAGAAGTTTAAAAGTTCAGGGAAGCAATAACTGTTTTTCGTTATCAGCTCTGGAACCAGGGCATCTAGAGAAATTCTTGCCCCGGCCCAGCTGAGGATAACAACCCTTTGTTCTTAATAGAAACTTTTAACAAATTAAGCTGAGTCCATGAAATGAGCATATGGGAAAGAATTAGTAAGGTGGTTATTACTGATTGAATCTTTATCAGAAAAGACCTGACCTAAGCTGATTCTTATACCAAGGCCTTCACCTCAGCAAAAGGCAGCTCTGAAGCACAGACTGAGGTCTCTGGTAACAATACCATATCCCTGAATCAATTCTTTTCTGCAAGAAGAAAGGAACTGGCATATAAAAGAGTAGTAAGTGAGGTGAGGAGTAAAGCACCTTTGTAACACCTGCTTATGTCTACTACTTGGACTGGTTGTTTCAAGGACCCACCTTTCCTTTAGAAGTACTTGAGGTGATGGACTCAGATATTATTCAACTCATATGGAACATGTTGAAATCATAACAAATCAAATGTTAATCTGGTGGAAGATGCTTAGGATTCAGGACAAGTCACTCATTTTCTAAACAGATTGTGAAATGAATAGGACTTGTCCTGGGAGAGTGTTTACCAGTTTTGTTCTTGAAAGGAAAAAAAGAAAAAGGATAGAGAAAGAGGAGTGAGGGCAACAATTATTTAAAGGAATCTCAAAAATTAAGGCATTGTAAGCTTTATGATCACAGTAATCAATTTCATTTTAATGGTTACATATAAAACCTATGTTTTTATCTCAAAGATACTTAAACTAATAAAATGATGCAAATGTGAAACAACTGACCTCAGTTTGGTTAATATCTGATTTATTGATATACATCTTCTTCCCTTGTGGCTAATGTTATTACTGTAATATTATCCTGTTACTCTCTTGTCTGCTTTCTCTTACATCAGGCTGAAGAACTACAACCTGGTTTTTCTTTGTCCAATTATATGCACTTGGCCAAGGTAATGAAGACCACTGTTGAAAAATCATTTTGAATTTATTACATAAAAATGTGGTTACCTTTAATATGCTTATTTTTTCATTTCTAGTGTTATGTTGATCTCGGGGAAAGTCAAGATGCTTGGAAGTTCTGTAACTTGGCATTGTTACTCCCTGTTGTTACCAAAGAGGTAAGCTTAAACAGTGATAATGAGCACTGGTGTCTTCGCAGCACTCTTCAGGGCTGCCAATTCATAACAGAAAAGACATGCGTTGGAAAAAGCACTCCTCTTCTTTTGTGTTAGAACAGTTCAGACGCCAGGGTTTGTTGTGATCTAGAATATGGTCAAGCAAGATATGCCTGTCGCTCTAGGAGTTTATAACCTGAGAACATGTGGTGTATATCCAAATGACTATAGGTCAGGGTAGAGAGCATGAAGTGCTAAGTTGTAAATAATTGGTTATGGAAAATTTGGAAATGGAGAAATTATTTCCTTCTAGAAGAGATCAGGTGACATTAGAGGTAGGCTTTGAAAGATCTGTATCACACAGAGATATGGGCAAAACACATTATAGGTCATGAGCAAAGACACAAGTAAGAAAGCAAAACTTTGTTTGCCTTTGGTGAAAGGAGTGTACAGGGCAGTCATAGGAAATAAGACTGAAAAAGGGAACTGAAAAATAAGATTTGCAAGGAGCTTTAGGTTGAAGGATGCCTTTGTCTCTAAAGAGTTAGCCACGCTCCCCTGGGTCCCTTCCACAACTGCATGAGCAAGGTCTTAGGCTGCTGATATGTATATTTTGTATGTTTGGAATTTCCAAGAGGGTTAACTATCCTTCTAACCAAATCCTTTGATAAGTTCCATGAGTTAATAGAAAGTAAAGAACATCCCAGTCTCAATAGCAGGAGGCTTGTTGCAGAAGACAAAGGGTTTAAATTATTTTTTTCAGTAGAAAATAGATTTTGTCCCTCTGCTTGCTTCCTCTGAGTTGATGATGAGGACCCTACTGTCTTACATCTCTTCTGAATAGCATCAGTTTGGGTTGCATGCAATCATTTTAAACTGTGTCCATTAGAATATAATATGATAATGACATGCAAATATTTATGCATGAAATTTAGGCTCTCTCAGGAAGACTAGATGTGATGATGCTCAGGGTTTGATCCTTCGTCTATAAGTCTCTTGCCTTCTCCTCTCTTTCTTCCTCTCTCCATCTCTAAACATATATCCTCCATGGCTTCCAATGCTGTCTTCATGGTAGAGCTCCTCAAATTTAAATCTCTAAACAACTTCCTACTTGACATCTCCACTTTGATGATTCTAAGACATCTCAAATTCAACTTGTCATGAGGCCTTAGATTTGCTGTTCTTCCATCTTTTCCTTGAGTAAATGGCACCTCCATTCACCCAACTAGGAAAGCTTAGAATCTTCCTAATGCCTCCTTCCCCTTCAGCTCCCTTTCCACCCAACCCAGTCATCTACTCATTTACCAAATTCTCAGAATTCCTCTTGTAAAAATGCCTGGAATCATCCCACTACTCACTCTCTTCACTGCCGCATCTCAGAACAGAGGACCACCAGCCTTCACCTGGGCTATGGATCATGAGAACCTCTCAGCTGGTCTCCTTACAGCTTCCTTGCTTCCCACCACTCTTGGCTCTCAGGTGCAGCCAAAGCAACAGATTAAACAATAAACCTCAACATGTCACTTCCATACTTCAAACCCTTTGCTGTTAGGATGAAATTTAAAAATTTTGCATGTCCTTCAAGGCTCATATCTACCTCCTACAACTTCACATCTTCCCTTCTCTCCCCTCTTCCTCATTCCTCCCTGCCTTCCATCCACAGAACGTATTGTTCCCTCTTCCTAAAATGCCCAAAACCCTTCACTCCCTTCACTAACTCTATTCTTACCCTTCAAGCCTTACCATAAGTTCCATTTCTTTTATTTTCTTTATTCATTTATTCATATGTGCATACATTGTTTGTGCCATTTCTTCCCCTGTCCCCCGCCCCTTCCCTGTCCTTGACACCCTTTGTCAAGAAAGTCCCTCATACCTTTTCTTCATATCATTTAGTACAATTGCAACTATAGAGTTATTTGTATAATTCATCATTAAAATGGCAACCAAGTCTGTTTCATTCACCACTTAATTCCTAGTGCTAAGTGTACTGCCTAATATATTACCACTCAATAACTATTGGTAAAAAGAATCAAAGCAATTCTACCCAAATAAAAACAATAGTACAAATTTTTGTGAAAATAAGTAGTATTGGTAATAAATGTTACTAAGAAATCTAGTTGCTGTGAAAGTGTTTCTATAATAAGAAAAAAACAGCATGAGCAAATATCTCCTACATTACCTTCTTTATTGTTTCCAGTGATACCTCCATATTTGTATTCTTAATAATTTTTTCTAAGTAATAAATATACTATTTTTTGTTGAGTACATAGAATGGGGTGAGTTAAGTGTAGAACTACCTATGTCTAAAAAGATTGTTTTCAGAATGAAATATGCCCCATTAGTGATTTTGCTAGCCAGTTTATTCATTGCAAAATCTCTAGCAGTGCCACTAATTATAATGAAGACAGCCTACTCATTAGTTTTCTCTACCTCATATAAACTTGAATAACATACTTGCCTCTTTTCGCAGCATTTGTAACTTCTTCCTTGCATTGCAGTCATTTGTAAACATGTCTTTTGTCCTCTACACGGGAACTCTTAAGTCCATCACTCTTCTACTTGATACTGGGAATGTCAGTCCGTTGGTCTCTAGAGCCCAGATTCATGTGTGTAAGCAGCTTTGCATTCCCAGAAATGGAAACTACAGTATTTTTGTTATTCACATGGACTTTTCTTGACCCTAGGGAGGTAATCTCAGATCCTGAGAAACATTCTTTTTTTTTTAAATAAAAAGGATTCCTATGTCTAAGGCAGTATGAAATGATTGCAGAATGAAAAAATGCCTTCATCAGTAGCCTGAAAGTTGTTTGCCTGGAGACAGTATTAAAGTTCATTGGCCTTTGAGAAAGCTCAAATATAAAAAAACATTGTGTAACATTTTGCTTTATAGGGATGGAACACTAATCTTAGAGTTTTTAATTGCTACAATATTTTCAAGTGACATTAATCATCCTTCTAAGAAGACAAACATACTATTATGGAACAGTAATCTCCAATATGAGCTAGTTTATAAAGTCAATAATGAAAATACACACACACACACACACACACACACACACACACACACACATACACATTTTTATAAAGGCTATTGCAGTGGAATCTCAGATTTCTTCAAATCCTGCTGCTAAAGCTAGGGCGTCTTCACATCTCATAGTTGAAGAGGAAAATAGCAGCACTGTTGACTTGCTGGTGTCAAGCAACTTACAGGGAAGGCTTTCCTCTTCCTGAATCCCACCACTCCAAGCCTGGAAGAGGAAGAGCCTGGAGATAGCTTTCAATGTTGCCTAATTCTCATAGATCTGGGTCCTGCTTGTCCAAAAAATCCACAGGTTCTTTGTAATGGCCTTTCAAAAAAAAATGCCTACACTAAACAACAGTCTATTTCAGAGTACCTAGAGTATCAGGATAAATGTGTGAAATTTCATTGTAATATATTTTCTTTATAGGACAAAGAGGCACACAAAGAGCTGAAAAAAATAATCTCTTCCTTGAAGAGGTAAATAAAAGAACTTACTCTTCAAAAATCTGATGTGGCCTATTAAGTTTTAAGTCTGTCCAAGTTGTTTTTTTATCACCCTTTCCTTTTCTATTTTTATGTAGGTAATATGTTCAGATTTGAAGGTAAAATCATGTTTCTGCAGAATGTACCCTACTGGGGGCACTATAAAACAAATCATGTTACTTGGAAAATCTGTTTACTATAATGTCAATCTGTAATAATCTATAAAGTATGTGCTTTGTAATTTTCCTATCAATAAACTGTAGCCTTCAGAATATTTCTTTAAATAAAATACTTAATCCAATAAAATCAACTCTAATGAATATTGTATTGTTTCAATGGAGACTTAATAAAATAATTTAATTAATGTTTGTAAAAATGGAAACAGTGAACACAATTATTGGTAGACAAAAAAAGAAAAATATAACTAGTAATCAGAGATATGTGAATAAAATTACAATAAAGTACTTCTTTACTATCTATATTATAAAGAATTTTTATTTCAGAAAACATTCAATATTGGCAACAGTGCAATGAGCTAAAATATTCTTATATACTATTTGTGGGAGGGTATTTTTGGCACAAACCTTTGGTAAAATATATCTAGTGCCTTTAAAGTACATTAACTCCAATCTTGTAATTCCATTTTATGGAAATAATCATAAAGAAAGTGTACAAATGATTTGTGTACAAATGTTCCTAACAACATAGCACTATGTCCAGCAATGAGAGAGAAGTTAATCATATTAGATTTTAACTACAGTAGAATATTATTTTGACATTAAAAATAATTATATGCTTGGGTGAGCACCAGAGTTCAAGCCCCAGTGCCATCCAAGAATAATTATATCCCAGCTGTGGTGGCACATCCAGCACTCAGGATCTTGAGTTTGAGACCACCCTGGGCTACAAAGTGAGACCCTGCCTCAAAAAATATATAAATATATAAATATATAATATATATGATATATGGAAATGCACAGAACATTTTAAGTACAAAATATAATAGTGCATACATATGATCTTAACTGTATGAAAATATACTGTGAAAATATCCAGAAAAATATCCAGTGGGAAATACACTGAAATGGTAGTTAATATTTCTAAAAGGTTTTATTTTATTTGCTGTACTTCACAATTTTTAAAAATAACAAACTAATACAGTGCTTGGAAAATTGAATTTATGGCCAGTCTGTGGTCTGAGGGGCAAAAAGTGTGTGTAAGACCCTATGTGAAAAAATAATTAAAAACAAAAAGGGTTGGAAGCATGACAAGTGGTAGAGCACTTGCTTAGCAAGCATGAGGCCCTGAGTTCAATCCCCAGTACCACTAAAAAAAGAAATATATATTGAATATAGCTAGCAGTGATCTATAGAATCCCTGGTATCCTTTAACCTCATCCTGAAATCAAAATAAAACTTGAATTTCCTGCTTGCTATCCTCAATGCACATGCACACACATACATACACCACACACACTTATAAATTCAAATTTTTCAGGCCCTTAGTGGTACCAGTTAATAAAATTGAACTGTTTCTCCCCTGTCATTTTTTATAAATGATTGTCACCCACTTTCCTCTATAACTGATCTAATACCAGACCTGCTAGCTAGAAGGGGTGGGAAACTTGCAGTTTCCTTCATAGATTTGCAGAGTCCAAATGCTGTGGATACCTCTGGCTAGCTCTATACCACAAAAAGGATATGCAGGTTGAGACAGATTATTCCAGCTAGCAGCAAATGACATAAAATCAGTCATGTTGTAGGCTGTATGGGAAAAACTCTCCTCTGTCAAAAGCAGTACAAAGACTTCCTCTAAGGACTTATGACAAATATAGAGGAATAGTCTGGCTGGTAACAGTGAGACTTGGGACTCATAAGGGGAGCATGACATAAGATCTAATTAATGTTTATTCATTTTAACAAAATCCCTGTTTGGTTTATTTAGTCAACATGTCTTCAGTGACAAGTTGGTACCCACTGATTGGATAATCAGTGTAGTAGTTTGTGGATAAGGACTTAGCCCAGTACAAGTGTGACACTCATACTTCAATCTTTAGAGTATTAGGAATTTCTGGCACATTGGCAGTTTCTCCAACAAGGTGTTAACAGAGGGAGTCCCCCTCCCCGTCATTGTTGTACTGCTTTAAATTATCACTAAAGCCCTGCCATTTGCTTAGCTTCAAAGTTATACCTAAGTCAGGCACAGGTGGCTCACACTTGTAATCCTATCAGAAGGATAAAGCTTCAAAGCCAGCCTGGGCAAATAGTTTCTGAGACCTTATCTTGAAAAAACCCTTCACGAGAAAAAGGCCAGTGGAGTAGCTCAAGAGTTCAAGCTCCAGTACTGCAAAATAAATAAATAAATAAATGTTTAAAAGTTATATGTAGTCTCATCTGTAGTCCTCACCAAATCATATAATCCAAGAAATGTGTGATGAGTTCAACTAAAAAGTTTCTGCCTATATAAATGGAAAAATGATACCTGTTGAAACTATTCCAGGAATGGGGGGAGGGGGTGCTGAAGGAGAATGGTTAAGGGAGTGAATTCAAGAATATTTGTAAACTTTTGTAAATACCACGATATACTCCCACCCAGTACAACAATAAAAAAAAGTTTCTGCCTAAATATCCCTGCCTTGTAAAAGCTGAGTATTTTTCTTATATGACAACACTGTGTGTAAAATATCCTACTTGTTCCAGAGAATGTCACACAAAATGAGCTATGTGGACTCTAATTTTCTTTGGTTACTTCATTCACCACTCAGGCTGCATGACTTTTGGAAAAGGCAGAATACCTATAGAGTGCTCCTGAAATGAGGATTTCTCCTGGTGGACCACTAAGACCAAGCTAATGGTGCACTCACAGATGAGTACACAAACTGCCAACCTCTCAAGAGATTGTGTGCAACTTTGAGAAAGGGAAGTTCAAATCCAGAACTTTAAATACGTTCAACTTCAGAAGATAAGAATTGAACTGTATGTTGCAATTTCTCATAAAAAAATTAAAGAAGTGACTTAGTGTTCCACTAAACTCTTAATGATTACGAAGTCCCTGTAATTGCACTGTCCTGTAATTGCACCGTTGGCTCTCTTTCTTACATTTCAAATGCGCTTCGTGTAACATGAAAGATTGTGCCACTTCTCAGCTTCTAAAAGTTGTGAAAAGGCATTTGACAATATTTTTATACTTCTAAATTACATAAAGTGGTAAAAGCTGAAAGGGACCATAAATACAATCTTCGAAACCAAACTTCTCATTTTACCAATAAAGATTTTAAGTTCTTGTAAGGAACACATGCAGTATCAGAGAACTGTAGTGGCCAAGCCAAGACTGGGTTCCAGATTTTGGAATCTCATGTCCTCTGCCATCTTCCTTGAACCTAGGGCTATTTACACTTGACTTAATGATGAGTCCAGTGTGCCTGGCACAGAATGGGGGCTGTGAAAATGGTAACTTATATGGCCACGTTTTTTTATATCAGCTAATTTCATCCTTACCGCATCTCCATATAGAAGGAACACTTGATTTTTACCCCATTTACACTTAAGGGGGGTCCAAACATGAGACATGAAATACCAGGCCTAACACAGTGAACAAGGGATTTGCAGCTGGGCAGGTTGTTCCAGAGTCTGTGCTGTGATCTGAGCCAATGTGCAATCCTGCCAGTAAATGGGGGAGCTGAAGACAGGCAGAATAAAAATAGAAGGTGGCAGGAGAGCACCAAAAATGGAAGGAAGAGAAAAGAAGGAAGGTATGTTTGTTTGTTTTTTTAATATGGAGGAATCAAAAGGAAAACAGAGAAAAGGTAAAGAAAAATCTTTTATTTTTTGGATATTAGTATGCATTTTCTAGTTTCACATCACAAATTTCCAGCAACCCATTCTGTATCTTTCCTTACATTAAATTTCTCCTATATCTTTCTCCCTCTTCCTCCCCTGACACATACACCAAGATAAGGAAAGAAGAAAAGAGAAGATGGTGATTTAATTTTAACGACATGATTTTCCTTGGTCTGTGTATATAGGAGAGTCTCTTTACAGACTTTATGTCCTATTCATTGGGCAGTTAACAAGACCAGCTTATTTCACAAAGACAAGGTACATTTTTAAAGCAAATAAAGTTAGTATCTTGAAGTTCTGCAATTTTGGAGCTTCCAAGCCTATATTTTGCTTTAGGTGCCTGAAGCCAAATCATTAAGGTTGAGTTTTTTAAATGGTTTTATTGAGATATAATTGACTGCATATATTTGAAGTGTATAACTTGGTACGAAATTTCAACATGTGTACACCCATGAAACCATTACCACAATCAAGATAAACATTTCTATCACCTCAAAATTTGTTCATGCTCCCTCCCCTTTTGGGCAGGGGGGATTACTGAGGTTTGAACTCAGGGTCTTGCAGTTGCTAAGCAGTCACTCAACCACTTTATCCACACCCACAGCCCTGTTCATGCTCCTTTGTAATCTCTCCCTCCTGCCTCTCTGCAAGTCTATCCCCATCTGCTTTCTGTCACTATAGATTGTATTTTCTTTATGTGAATAGAATTGTGTAGTATGAATCTTTTTTTGACTTCTTTCATTAAGCATAATTATTCAGAGACTCATCCATGTTGTAGCATATACTGATAGTTCATTCCTTGTTTTATTTCTGAGTTGCATTTTACTTCCATAGCATTCACAATTCACCCATTGATGGACATTTGAGCTGTGTCCAATATTTGATTATTACAAATAAATCTTCTGTAAAGATCCATATAAACTCTGAATGGAAATATACTTTCATTTCTCAAAGATAAATACCCAGAAGTAGAAAGTATGGTTGATCTATGACCAACGTTTTAAAAACGGTCAAACTTTTCCAAAGTGGTTCTGCCATTTTCCATTTTCACCAGTAGTTTATGAGAGTTCCCCTTGCTCAACCTTCTTGACAACAGTTGGTATAATTAATAATTACTGTTTTTAATTTTAGCCACTGTACTAGACATGTTCTGGCATATGATTGAGGTTTTAATTTGGAT